TGCGATAAAAAATTCAAAAAACTATTTGGAAAATCTTAGAAAACATGAAAAAAATTCATATTTTTTATGTGGAAGAACAACACTTACTTTTTCAATAAAAGTAGCTTTTTTCATTGTTTTTACTCCGTCAGGCGTTTCGAAACATACTCATTAGACGCAGCTTTTCACACTGCATCGAACAAGTATATTTCGAGACGTCTGAGGTAGTAAAAACAACGAAAAAAGCTACTTTTATTGAAAAATTGAGCGTGTTTCTTGAATTTGAAAAAAAAAAGAGTTTTTAAATGTTTTTGAGGTTTCCCGAGTAGTTTTTTGAACTTTTTATCTCAAAAAGATGCCTCAAAAAATTTTTAACATCCACAGTTTTGTAGAGCTCAACGAGGTCTATCAAACCATGTAAAAATATTCAAGAAAAAAAATTGACTTCATTTTTGAATCAGTGGTACCTTGATTTTCCACCCCAAAAAAATATAAAATTTCTGAAAACTTCTTAAGTTTGACATTAGAAAGTTTTTACAAGCCTCATTATTTAGTATCAATAAACCCCATTTTTGACGAGCTTTCATTTGATATAAAATTCATTATGTCTTCTATTTGAAATTATAGCGTTATCCCCCTGGAATAATATTTTTTCCAACCGTGTACATGGATTAGTAGCTAATAAGTAACAATTGATATCCACTATCGAGATCGGTCAGTTGTGATTTGACAAGTTGGATGACAGTAACGGTGATAGGCAAATGATTCTGTGTACAGAATTTGAGTTGTACCGTTCAATGGACGATAAAATTCGGTACTCTATGGTTGTAGTACCACAAAAAAAAAGAAGAACAAGTGACAATGATTTTAATCACAGCATGGGTGTATGGTTGTGTTTTAGAAAGGACTAACATTTTATTTAAATAGAAAACATGACCTAAGTACGAACCGAATGACAAGATTGATACTAGAGAATTGAAGTTTGAGCGTTTCGATTAACAAAAACTGTCTATACTTAAGTTGAGAAGAAAATAAAAGAGAAACTAGGGAGTGGCGCATCAGAATTTGTCGAACAAACATTCAACCATAATGTTTATATGTTCATTGAACGTTGAAGAATATTTTGAGTCTAGATTTTGACTGAATTCTTGCAATGTCAACCATCAACGAATAGCAGATAAAATGAAGACATCCTGTAAAAATTCTTTTAAACTAGGATGTCTTCTAAATCATAATTTCATTCTATTGATTTATCCAGTTTTCCATTCGTGTGTATTTTGTAAATAGCAATAATCGTCGTGTCATCAAATGGGCAATGATATCGGATATTAGTAAAGTCAACGTATTTGGTGTAGAATATTCTTCTAGGAGTTATCGAATAGAATGATTACGTAGTAATAATAATCAATCGAATCCAATTTCTAAATTGTTGTTCCTCTCTCATTCAATTCATCGTGGAAAAATTTGAACTATTATATGGTTTTTTTTTCGTTCGATATCATTAGGGCAAGTTGATAAAGCACAGGCAGTAAATAATAAAAAAAGAAATGAAAAACTTTTTTCATGCTAAATTCTTAGAATTTAAACAAGCTTTTCGATTACACTAATGTCTCTGAATGAGGATGATGTTGTTGCATTCAGTCAGTATAGAATGGATAAATATATCACTCGATTTGTCTTTTAAGACTTGATCTTTAATAATAAAACTATACTTGTATTTCGCACGGCTGATGGATATTTTGACATGATTGAACGATGCATTTCTTGAGAAATCATAGAATTAGCATTATCACTGACTAGAATCGATCATTCGGTTAAGTCAATATGCTCTTGTACCGTTTGATTGTTGTTGTCGGGTAAAAAAAAAGATGATAATTCGATGTAAATACCAGTAATATTTTTTCACTTTTTTTGAAGTGCCATTCATATGATCATAGTCAAACAGTTATATAGTCCTCTGTCATGTAGTTTGTTCTTTGTTCAATTTAGTCAATTGACTATGTTGTTCGGCTCGAGTCCGATGTTAAATGGAATCAATTAATTTTATTCTATATCAAAATAAATGATTATCGAGGTTTGTATAACAATTCAGAATCGTAATTGGGGCATCCAGTCCTATCCTTGTTTTAGTTCATTATGAAATTATTATTAAGAAACCATATGAGTCCAAAGTTGTATGTCTACAATTGGTGGCTTTATCTTTCGACAACAATCTCCAACCATTCTATACTGGTTTGAGTAATTGAAAAAGGTCGATCAATGTAACTCTCTATGTAGGTATTTGACCGATTATGTATCTAGAATTATATTATCTACAAACCTTAACATGTAAGCTACAATTAATCATCAAAGTGGAATTATGAGATAACTAATATCATTTTCGTTGGTTCTTCATAATTTGATTATTCTTATCGAGAATTGATAACGTATTTATTAGGATTTACGAAATTTCATCATGCCATTTGTTATCGGTTCTTCTCTCTCTTCCTTATTTTCTTCATATATATATGTGTTTGTATGTGTATATAGAGAGAATGAGAAACAAGACAGACCAATTGGAGATCAAAGAGAAATGAGAGGAAGATACAGGAGAACATATAGATAGTGGATATGTCGAAATCCCTAGTTTCAATCCTGATTATTCCTTGGAAAAGTCTAGAAGAATCTTTCATAATCCTTAATCTCAAGGATCTAATCAAGTTTTATTCAGGATGTTGTCTTGAATCCTAATAATTCCTGCTTGTAGAATTTTTCAAGTCTAAACAGGATCATTTTCAGGATTTACTCTCGATCCTACATAAGATTAGTCAGAATACTAAACGAATGAATAATGTCAAGTTTCAGTCAGAATCTTGTTAGAAGTTTTTCAGGAACGAATGTTTTTGAATCTTTACAAGACAATACTAACCATGATCGGAAATACGAGGATCTCCAGTTAAGATCTTTGGAAGTTTGTGTTTAAAACTTTTTGAGAGTTCGATTTTCAGGATCCGTTCAAGATTTGTAAATTTGTAGATCACAAAAGGATTTCAATACTCTTGTTGAGTGAAATCTCAACAATAATAAATGGGATATAGTTTCTCAAGATTTTATAGTTTTATTTAAAACGTAATAGAATCATTAGAATTAAGGAATCTACGCGGATTTTTATTCTAATCAAGATTTGGAGCTTAGTATGAACAAATACAGAGATTCTGACAAAATCGTAGAAAATCTTTTTCTTTGTAAGTCTTTTCTAAATCTTTATTGAAACAAATCTGAGATTTAGTTTCATTGATATTTGCATTCTTATCCTGAAAGAGAATTTGAAAAATTATTAAATTAAGGTGTTAATTTTAATTTAATTCGTAATATTTTTTTTATCAAATAGCTATTTTTAGTATGTAGCATATTTTTCTATAGAAACTGTTTCATACCTACAATTATTTGTGAAAAATCAAATTGAAACCACAAAAAAAACAACAAATAGTGGAATTTTGACAATTTCAAAAATATTTAAAATTTCTTTGAGATAACTTGTCTTCATATAAAACTTCAATAGAAGTTTACATTTAATGATCTAAAAATAATAGAGAACTACTCTGGATTCTTCTAAGACCTTATTCCAAATTTTGTTAAGGTCTTGATCATTTCGTGTCTACATATTTTTTTTTCAGGATTTACAATTACCAGAGCTGATTTCTGATTTTAAACCTTGTGATAAATTCGTTAAGATCTTTATTGGATCTGGAATGGAAACATCAAGTATTTTCGCAAGAGTATACTCGAATTACATTTCAATTTAAACTTTTTTTCTTTTCCGTAGCTTTACAATGAGAGTCTCATTCGATTCCCCTACTATAATTGAAGCTAAATTTTCGTTTTTTCCTTCTTAAACATCATAGCAAAAACTTTGTAAGATCTTTCAAGCTTTTCATGAGATAATATCGGATCTTAATGTAAAATTTTTCATGATCATATAATATGATGTTACATTGAATTCAATTGGCGAGGACACAATTACATTTACAACCCATAAAAATAAGCAAATTTAATATGCTTATTTTTATGCTAGCAATAAATAAGAAAAAAGAAAAACATATCATCGATGTTTCTTATAATACAACGAGATAAAAATAAGGATAGAGAGTGAGACAAAAAAATATTTGAAAGAAGTTATTGCTATATAATAGAGATAAAAGGTAAGAGAAGTGTTCTTACATTTATGCTATAACCTAGTGTCCGAAAGAAAAAAAAAACTTATAACGATGTTGGTAATGACACAATTAGTGACTTTACTTAAATTAGAATTGTCGATCAAAAAAACAACATTGATGATTGTTTAATAGAGGTAGATACGAATGATGTAGATATTGAATGGATAAAGTGAAGACCATAACTATAAGCTCCCATCCTATGGAATAAACATTAATAGAAATGAAGATGAACAATCTATCAATTAAGCTCAATCGTGTAGTGCAGATTATTCATAATTTATGATCCTTCCAGTAAAAATGAACATTTTCTTTCAATGAATCTTTGACTGAATATATATTACCAAAAATTGAATTTTGACCAACTATCATTTTAATTTATTATTGAAGAATATATCTGAATGAATTATTCTCGCCTTTCAACCATTTTTACATAAATAATCGGTTGAATGTTTCATTCAAAAAAAAGTGCTAATTAGCATTTTTCAATTTTTAACATCTAGTATCACAAGAATTTTTATAATTTTCTCGACTATATTTAAAGAGAAAATGTAATTAATTATTCAACTAATAAGTTTTAACATCTGAAGGTACATGAAAACGATTATAGTTATCAAAGTACCTTTTATCGAATTCTAGTACTTAAACTGTAATCTACTTGAAAATTTTCTTAATCTCGTATACAATAACGCTAAAGTACACTGTTCTCGTGAAGTTCTTCAACATCAAATCTCAATGGATATAGATATCATCCAATAGGATTGCTTCGTTCTATCAGTAGTTTAAACAAGGATATTTTTAGAACTAAAGTTCATAATTGAATAAAATATGCCTCATGTAAAATTATCACCTCTAAATCAAAATTTAGAATTATATTATGAAGTTCATGGTTCAGGTGAAATTAAAATATTATTTATTATGGGTTTATTAGCTGATGGTGCAGCTTGGTATCGTCAAGTAAAATATAAAAAAATATCAATAATCACTTTTTTTTTTCTAACAACTTTCTTTATTAGACTGATTTTTTTCGTCAACTATCTCATTATCAAGTATGTAAACAAAAAAATAAAATAAAATTTCTAATTTTATTTCTATCTAGTGTGTTAGTTTTGATAATCGTGGATATGGTCGTTCATCTTCTCCATTAACTATTCATTATACTACAACTCAAATGGCAAAAGATGCTCTTGCACTTATTAATCATTTACAATGGACTCAATGTCATGCTGTCGGTATATCAATGGGTGGAATGATTGCACTTGAATTAGCATTATTAGCACCCGAAAAAATTCTTTCATTAACACTTTTATCTACACATGCTGGCGGCCTTGCTGGTCGAGCACCATTCGTTGGTATTCGTCATATGATTCGATCTATATTATTAAGTGATGAAAATTTATTAGTAGAAAATGTTATGACAATGCTTTATGGTGTAAAAACACTCAATGATCCAGATAAACGAAAAGTTTAAAAAAAAAGGAATTTAGTATATAAATAAATAGTGTTTTTATTTTAGCTATTATATGATTATCATGTTAAACGATTTCGAGAACGTATGACACCAACAATTATTGGTCTTATAGGACAAATAACTGCTGTATATAAACATTATGTTAGTTATGCAGATTTACTTAAAATTCGTTATGCACCATTTGAATGTTTAATTATGGTTGGTACGGAAGATCGACTTGTACGAGAAACAAATTCTTATATGCTTCGACGAGTATATCTTTTTGTTTAAAATTAATAAAATAATTGTTTTTTTGTTTAATATTATAGATTCTTGGTTGTCGTCTTGTTAAACTTGATAATGCTGGACATGGTTTACAAGGTGAATATGCAAAAGAAGTTAATCAAGAATTATTAAGTAAAATAAAAAGAAAATAATATTATCAATATAAAAATAATTAGTTTTATTTTTATATTAGAATTATTTGAATCAATTCGTAAAAAAGAACCATCACAAAAATCAAGACAAGAAATACCAGAAGAATATGCAATAGAAATAAAAGCTCTTCAACAATGTTGTCAACATCGTTCACATTGTCTTATATATGATATTGTTGGATTCTTACAGGTACGAATATATATTTATATATCGAAGTAACAAACGATATATTTCTCCTAGATAAAATAACGAATTTCTATAAGCAAAAAAAAAAATTTCCACAGAAGGCATACATTTAAAACAAAAAATCTTCTTTCTCATACTTATTCAAAATGAAACTCAAGGATTTTTCTTTTTTTTTTTTTGTTCAGGGTCTACTTCTCGGTATGATTCTCTTCTGTTTATTGTCAATTGTTGAATCAACAAAGATTCAATGGCCTGGAATTCATTTAACCTTCGAAAGTGTTATATTAGTTGGATGTTTGAAGTAAAAGAAGTTTTTATGTTTCTTTTCACATTTCGGTATTTTATTTTTTTTTTGCTTTTCTATTACTTTCAGTGGTCTTCGTCGAGCTATTAAATGTGTATATCATGCATTTCGTGCACGATGTTTTGTTCAAGAATATCATTTACAACTTGATCGAGCAGCTCATCATGGTGGTATTGGTGTTGCATTACCTGAAGAACCAAAAAATGGTATACCATATGGTTGTGGTTTTGAATATCCTATTCCTTCATTAATATTTATAGCTAATTTGATTAGTCTTATTTATTGGACAAGAATATATGAACAAACAACTTAAAGAATATTATATTTTCTTTTGTTTATAAATAATAAGTTCACAAAGATTTAAATATCGTTATAACAGATTATAAGAAGTCATCTTTTTTTCTATTATTTCGAGATTAAGTAATACCACTTCGAGTCCTTTTTTTTTTTCTCTTTATTCTCACATCATGTTCATTCCTCTATGTACTTAGACAGAGCGGTATGTTTAAAGTAATCTAAATCAATATTGACATATGTGAAAAGAAAAAAAAAACTTACAACAGACTTCGAATCTTTCTCATTAACATAATGAACAATCGTTCTTGTCTTTATTTCTATCGAAACACAAATTATGAACTCTAGCATTCGAATTATTTTCTGATGACGGATAATATATTTCCCTAGTGGTAGGTTGATTTATTTATGTTTTTTTTTTCTCCTTTTTTTTCTTCTTCGTTTGACAATAAATAGCGGAAAAGATGATTGTCAAGTAAATAATATACGCGCGAGCGTTCTTTTTTTTTCTCTCTTCGTTGTTGTTCAAGAATGCTATCTATGTATACAAGTATCTCTTTTGTTATGTGTGTATTTTTGTTTGATTTTATATCTAATGCGTGAGAGTGAGGAATGCATAGAATACTGCAATAATATGTGCGTTAGTTCGACCGTTACAGGTGAGAGAAAGAGAAAGAATTGCAACGTAATGCGACGTTTCAAGGTAAAAAAGCAAAGAAAAAAAGGCTATAGAGAAAAATGTGAAAGCAAGCAAGCAAACAAGCAAGCCTTTTTTTTCCTCTTATTCTATATACGATTCGTCATCTAATCATCATCAACGTTTACGGTAAGGATGTCTCAAAAGAGATTCACGTGTTGACTTGATATGTAGATAGGCCATTTTGATCGTAGTTTTTTGCGTATTTAAGTTATTTATATCGACTGAATTAACAGGTTACTTTATTCATTAGAATATATGTTTTTCTTTGATCTATCGATCTTTACATATAGACAAGAATTGTATATTTACTTATTTACTTATAATTTATTTAATTGCATTGTATATTCTTTCTCCTAGAAGACAAAAGAATATCAATGTATGTCTGAAATAATAGAGTGCTAATAGGGTGTGTGTGACCATATAAGAGTACAAAAAAAAATCATTAATAGAGTAAAATTGTATAGCCTATACACATATAAGTACACCGTTGTTTATCAAACTCAATTGATTTCGCTAGCTGAAAGAAAGAGAAAAGGATGGTAAGAACTTGAAGATGTTTAATCATCTGTTCGATAGCGAAGGAGGGACTATCGACGATGTCATTTACTTGTCTTCAATCTGTATTCTATGTGCCTATATAAATATACTGTATTGTTGGATCATTTTTCTTTTATTTCTTTCTGTTGTATATATTTGTCATCCGTGTTGTCTGTAGAATCCAATTGCTTAAAAACAAAAAAAAAGAAAAAGAATGACACAACCTTCTGCACAACAACTATATGTATCTGATATGACTGATGATGAAATTGAACTATTGAAAAAACTTGAAGAAGCGAATCGGTAAATTTTTTCTTTTGTCTCTTTTCATCGAATGTACTCAAATATCTATTGATATTATGTTTTTTTTTTCTATTCATATACAGACGTATCGAATATGATACAAAGTCGCCTGTTAATACAACGCAAAATCCTTTAGCAAATCTACGCTCACCTGAATCATATCACGAACAACTACGACAAGATTCAGTTTCAAGCGATTTAAGCAATGTAACTACTGATAGTGATGGTATAAATTCAATAAAATTAAATGTTTTTCTTTTAATGAATCATACATATATATTTATTTAGCTAATCTTGAAAATGAATGGATTATATGGAATAAAATTATAAATAATTGGTCAATTTATATTAAAAAAAAACCGCAATGGATTAAAGTAAAGATATTATTTTTAGAAAGAAAAAACCAAAAAAAAAAAAATTAATAAATATTTTTTTTTTCTTTAGGATATGATTCGAGCTAATGTTCCAATTCATTTTCGTCCATTAGTTTGGCAATGTTTAGCTAAAGTTAATACATCAACTGCTAGAGAAAAATATATTGATTATATGAAAATGACATCATCATGTGAAAAAATTATTCGAAGAGATATTTCAAGAACATATCCAGAACATGAATTTTTTAAAGAAAAACATGGTATTGGTCAAGAAAGATTATTCAATGTGATTAAGGTTTGATATGTAATAACTTAATTTTAATATTGTGACATATTCAAATTTATAACTCAATATTCGATAAGTTGTCAAAAAAAAAACTATTTAGTCCAATTGATTTTGTTTATAATATCAAACATGTCATCGAGTTTATATTTTGTCGATGAGGGGTGTCATTTATTATTTCATTGAAAAATATTTTATTTTGATATAAAAGATTGATCATTCCTTTTACTATACTATTAATAGTGATAATTGATACTCATCATTTGTAATCGAATAAAATATTTGAACAACACCTTTTGTATTTGTTTCTTTGACAAGTTCACACCTTTTTTTTTGTTGTTTGTTATCTAGGCTTATTCATTATTCGATCGAGAAGTTGGTTATTGTCAAGGCATTGGTTTTATTGTTGGACTTTTACTTATGCATGTTAGTTTTGATAATTAAAGATATACGTTCTTCTTCTTCTTCTTCTTTTTGTTTTTTTTTTATCTATTCAATTTTTGTTTTTTATTTGTTGATAGATGCCTGAAGAAGAAGCTTTTGCAGTACTTGTATCTATAATGCAAGATTTTTCAATGCGTGATATGTATAAACCAGATATGTTTTGTTTGTGTCTTTGTATGTATCAACTTGAATGTATGATTCAAGTATGTTATTAATTTTATTATTTATCGATAAATATTTAATTATTTAATAGGAATTTTTACCCGATCTTTATCGACATTTTCAAACAGAAAATTTTAATACATCAATGTATGCTTCTAGTTGGTTTTTAACATTATTTACAACTCAATTTCCACTTAATATTGTTTCTCATGTGATGGATTTATTTTTAAGTGAGGTAGAATCATTTATTAAATAGATTATAAATTGATATGTATACAATATGCATAATATTCAATTATATATAGGGTATAGAAATTATTTTTCGTATAGCTATTGCTCTACTTGAAATTCATCAAAATGAATTAATGGTTTTATCAATGGAAGATATGTTAAAGGTATGTATTATATATTAATCTTTTTGCATATCGTTTATAAATACGTCTTAATCAATCAGCAAACTATCGTCATATAATTTTAACCCTATACGAACATGTAATCAATATATATTGTAGCGTTAACGACAAGTTTTTCTTTTTTTTTTACGCCAGCTGCTTGTTATATTATTGCGCGTGATTTTATTTTTATACCTTTTACATAGTGATATTCTATTTTCGAATAGTAAGAAGGAAAAGAAATAACAAAATTTAATGAGAACACAAATCATTGTGTTGTGATTATATATATATATATATATATGTATTCAATCATGTCATTTATATGCGTTTCAGTTTATCGACGAATAGAATAGAAAAAAAAGAGAGAAAAAAGAGAGAAAGAGAGAGAATAAAATGACACCATTGCTGCCGTTAATGATTGTGTATTTGTGTATGCGTATATGCTTTGTTCTGTCCAAACGAGAGTGAAGACATTTGCAACTGACTAGAAAGAGAAAAGGGGAGAAACAAATAGACATCCATATCAATCCTTGTGTATTGTCCTACGCATTAATTTACATGCATGGATCGTCGTCTACATGCTGTTCAAGATCGTCTAGTCGAACATTGTACACAGACTTTGAAAAGTGTTCAAGGTTCTGTGTCTGCTGTCACATCAGTAAGTTACTAAATAATATGAAAAAGAATGAATCAAAAAAAAAAAATAAAAGAAATGATTAATAGAACAAAAGAGAAGAAGGATTCTATTTACACAATCCTAACATGCTCATTTTTGAATAGGTAAAAGTATTATTAAATGTTATATACACACACATACGCACTTTATATTTTCTTTTGTTCGTATTCACCTGAAGTTTTGATTTTTCATATGAACTTATTGTTTGTACATTGATGTTTCGAAAGATTTTAATCTAGAATAGGTTTCATGTCTATTACCTAATTTCTTTTTATTTAGTATTTTCAAAAAGAAGTGCCTGTTAAACATGAAAATGATCATGAATCATTATTTCAACGTGCTTTTGCTGTGCAATATAATGGGAAAAAAATGAAAAAGTACCTAAATCTACATATAAAATATATATTAATAAGTGATATTATTTTTTTTCTTTTCTATATTAGGTTAGAAAAAGACTATATGATTATTCATAAAGAAGAACAAGAAGAACAAATTGAAATACGTGTATGTGTATATATACTTTTTTTTTAAAGTTTAGTGTGTTGTTTTGGATCATGTCATCTTGTTTTTTGTTCTAGAGATTAAGAAATGAAAATCGTTTATTGAAACAACGAGTTGAAAATTTAGAAAAGGTATATTTATTAATATAATAAGAATTTGATGTATGTTTTAATTTTCTTTTTTAAAAGGAAAGTGCAACATTAGCAAATCGTTTAATTGAAGGTCAAGTATTAAATGCTCAATATGCTGAAGAAACTGATCAATTAAAACATGAAAATTATACGTTAAAAAAACAATTAGAAGAAAATAATAATCAAAATATTAATAAAACTATAATACAAAATAATAATCAAAATTTATTAGATGATAATATTATATCAAATGATAAAGAAGAATTAGAAGTTCTACGTGAAACAGTTCAGAATTTGACATCAGTAAATTATTTTATATGAATTTTCTAACAATACTCTTTCATATACATATATATATATATATACATATATATTTATAGAAAAATCGTAATTTACAATCGACACCACATGTTGAAATAGCTGCTTTACAAGAAGAATTAACTCTTGTTAAAATGCGTGATGCCGAAGCTCAAGTTAGTATAAATGAACTTCGTCAACGTATAGCTGATCTTAATTATGAATGGCAATTACATAGTAGTAAATGTAAAACAATTCGTGAAAAAAATAATTTAAATGAATCTAATCCAACAGATGATGCATATGATTTAATTGCTCATGAATTAATATCTCTCAAAATGCGTGAAGCTCAATTAGATTGTGATAATAAAATTCTTTCACAAAAATTAATGGATTCTGATACACAAAAGCAAGTTTCATATAATCAAATAAAACGACAAGATGATGAAATACAACGAGTTCGTCTTGAATTAGAAGAATCTCGTATACGTGAGAATGAATTACGTACACAATTGAATGAAATTAAAAATCAATTGCGTGATGGAGAATTAAAAGTAAAAAAAAAACAAAATGTTCGTTTTTTTCTTTATGAATTTTTTTTTTCTTTTAGCAAAAAGAAGATTCAATGATGTTACGTATTCGAGAAGTTGAAAGTACTCAAGCAATTGGTGAATTACGTCAAAAAATAGCTGAATTAGAAGTTCAAGTAAATTTATCTAATTTGTTTTTTTTTGTTTTGTCTTAAATTTTGTCATTATAGAATCAAGAATTAATAAGTCATGGTCAAATAATGGATGAGAAAGATCTTCAAGAAAAACTTGCTGAACTACAAGATGAGGTTTGTATTATATTCAATAAATATCTTTTTTTCTATTCACTTATCTTATAGAAAAATTTTTTATATAAAACAACAAGTATTTCTTTCTAAGATTGTCTTTTCATTTATTGTCGTGTGGATAAATAAAGCTGTTTCGAATGCTGCTATATCATATTCCGTCTTTTTTTTGTTTTGTTTTGTTTTACAGTTAAGAAATACACAGCTTACACGTAGATATTCATTACCTGTAAAACATCCGAGTATACTCTATGCGAGTACATTTTGGCAAAATATTGATGCTATTGATGAAGATGATCATCTGATTACTGATTCGAGTGAGATTTGCTTATTGCAAGTTAATATTAATTAAATATCGATAATTAATTAAAAGCTAAAAAAAAAAGAATTCACAAAAATTAATATATATATATTTTTTCTTTGTATAGGTCCTCCGTCTCCGACTTCTACTAACGTTATATCGTAAACAACCAAATTCAACTAATATAGACTATGAAGAAAGTGAAGATGGAAGTTTAACTACTTCTTTACCATTATTATCATCAATAAATCATCGTTTAAGTTCTTCATCTACTATTCTTTTTCCGACCTCATTTATTTCATCTAATCATCATCTTCGTCAATCAACACCTTCTTTGTTTCCAACATTCTCATCTACACAACCATCAATTAGTTAATTTATCATAAGAATAAAATATTGTTCTGTTTTATTTTTTTTTTCTTTTTCTTTTTCTTTTTTTTTGTGTAAATAGGGTCATTTTATTATTGCAATATTGCCGGTTTCATAAGAATAAACAAAGATAAAGAGACGAAGAAACCAAAATTCAAAGATGTAATATTCATGTTCAATTTGTAATGCATTTGAATCAATATGAATAGTAAAGTTTCAATATAGTACATTGTATACATTAGAAACATTTATGATGTAAACTACATATTAAGATTTCAGACATTTATGAAATGAAAAATGTTTGACAGATATTATAAACGACAATTAAATCAATTCAAATGTTGCTAACATTGCTATTTAGTATATCTTAATGCCGACATTTTCTTCATAAAACAAATATGAACTATAATTAATTACGTAAAAATTTAATCCATCATGATGAAATCTTGTAGTAGGATTACAAACATGATTGTATATATAAAGTTCGAAACATTTGAGTTCTAATTCTTATGAAGGAAACCTCCTAAATGATTAATCGTTTTGAAGTTTGAACTATGTGCATTATGTAGATTCTAATAAGCTATGAATACATTGAAAAGATTTCGGACCATTAACTTACTATTGTTAAGATACTGTATTTTTACGGATTTTTTTTTTAAAGTCAATATCTTCGTTCCCGTCAGGAACACTAAGAAATGAAAATTTTTATTTGCTCATTTCTTCAATTAAGAATATCAAATCTCTAAACTTTTACAGTAAATTATTCTTATTAAGTTTTGTCTCTACGAAAAGTTTCAAGTCGAAATTCAAAAAATGAATTTTCCTAGTATTCCTGAGAGAGTCACATGTATTTATAGCTTATTAGGATCTATATGAAGCATATAGTTTCGATTCAAAAGCGATTAATTACATCGGAGATTTCTTTCGTTAGTGTTATCTTTAGTTTAATTGAACTTCATATTCTATAAGTCATTTCTTTTTTCTCTCCCAAAAGACTTTTTAATCGAATATTGTTCTGTATAATTTTCTTTCAAATTACGTTTGCTTATAGATAATCAATTTATTTAGGTTATTCAATAAGTATTTGGAATTAGAAAAATATTCGAAACTACTGCCATCATACTCGGTCCTTATAACGCATTTTTAAGACAGATATTCGAATCTAACAATAGATACTGAATTAAATCTCTTAACTATTAACATAATTATACTTATTCCGTGAGTCCTATAAACTTAAAGATACTTGCCTTGAATATTTAGTATGCAAAGATTGATGGAAACTATTTTTGTTTATGAATAGTTTCTTTATGTTGGGAAAAGTTTTTGAATGATCTAAGTAGAATGAATTAATACTTCGCATACTTTTAATAGAAATAATTTGAAGTTACATTCTTTGTGCAAAATCATGTGTGATAAGTACATTACGGGTCGCAATAGGAGCATAAAACAATCAGGATAACAATGGGATTTTAGTGATGTCAGTACGACCAGTGATACTTTGGATTAATTCCGAATAAGAAATTTTATGATTTTATTGGAAAAGTTTTGTTATTATTTTAAGATTATTCTGTCTTCTTTAATGAGTCATTAATCTATTTTTGTTATCTTCTCATGTTTTTTTTTTCATTATATAACAATAAAGAAAAAATAAATCTCTAATTTCATGACATTCATAAGTCATATTACATATTATCCTTTAAGCACAAACTTTATCGTTATAAAATGCCAGCAACTATTTTAAAGAGCACAAAATAAGAGATCTCTGGACTTTCTGACCTTTCCTTAAAAAGTAAAAAGTATCACAAAAATAGTTTTTGTGATACTTTTAATTTTTTAAGAAAAGGTCATAGAAAATCCAGCGACTCTTCATTTTATGCACTTTAAAAATAGCTGCTGGCACTTGAAAACTACTATATTCGACTTTTTACAAATCTTACCATTGTACTTCATCTAGTACAAAAATACATTAGATAGAAAAATTCTGAATTTTTTCTTACAAGCTTATCTAATCGGTGTCTCTATGTGAGCAAAGTTTTAGATCGAAATTCACTAATATAATTTCGCTTGAAAACTGGAACTCCACTGAAAATTTTATATCTTACAATGGAGATGTTTGTATTATAAATTAAAAAGACCAAATATATGCAAGTCAAAATAAAGCTCTCATCACCAAACTGACAAATTAAAAATATTAATTGCTGTTGGTGTGCCTGGATCTAGGCATACCAACAGCAGCTAATATTTTAAATTTGTTAGTTTGGCGGTGAAAACTTTATTTTGATCCCAATATGTCTAGTCTTTTTAATTTACAATACAAATACCTCCATTGTTAGAAACAAATATTCAACAGTCCGAATCACTTTAGAGAATCTACTTATCTACTAGATCCTATCGATTGAATATAGTCTCAGCTCAAAAGTAATTTATCATTTGGAAATCTTTCCTTCTAAGCAGTATCTTTAGACGACGAGAGACATAGCACAGACTTCAGTCTTGAAATCTTTGAATTATCCTGTTTCCTTCTCAGTTTTAAGTAAGATTCATATTCGTAGTAATAACAACAACTCTTATTGTATAAAATATAAATAAACATGTATGACAAAACAATTTCAACGAATATTGATGTTTTCAATTGATATACACAGATGCTAATTTAATTTAAATTATATTTGTTCATTTTCATATTTATACAATAATGACAAATGACAATTGAAAAATATATTCAAAATTTAGATTCAAGATAAATTATGTTATATCCTCATACAACAGTTTTTTTTTTCTATAATGTTTGAAATTTCAATTAAATTTTTACATATTCACTATCATTTGTTTTATGATTAAATCACAAAAGCAATCTAGTTTTTGATCTATTCTAGAGCAATAAATTTTACTAATATCAATTAAATCAAAGAATGAAGCATGGTAATATGAGAAGAAAATTATATTATTGATGAAACATGAATTGTTAAATGATGGTAACAATTCTGCTCGATCATAGAAGTCAGATGTTTCTCGAACATAAAAACATTCATAAACTATTGTTAATGATTAAATAAAAATAAAGGCAAGTATATAGATGAATTGGTTGTTGCTTTTTTTTATTATTATTCCATTTTCGCCATGTACAATACAGACTACCAAAAAAGAAAAGAAAAAAGAATATTATTTAAGATCATTTTAATTGTTTTTTTTTTATTCATTTCTAGACAACATCAAAACAATCAAGATCAGTATTTATATTTAGACCTTTTTGGGTTTTTGATTATAATCGGCTGCATGGAATGCAAGATTCTCCCAATAGATCCGTTTTGTACGTTGTTGATCATATCTATCTGGTGCTACTGATAACGATGAACTGTCAACTGGTGATTCAAGTAATTGATCTTGATATTGTTTTATTGATGGTAAACCAGCTAAAATTTTAAAAAAAATTAAACAACTATGAAAATTCAATATTAAATACTTACATAAATAATTAGTTGCTTCTGAACGTTCTGTCAATAATTCATCATTATTATTCAGTTCAGTTTGAGGACGTCGAGCATTGAGCAAGGGTAAAATAAATAAAGAGACAAAGAAAAAAGCAAACATTTGTGTTTAGAAAAAGGCTGAATTTTTGGATCTTGAAAAAAAAAAGAAATTATTAACAAAGAAAATATTACTTACTGAAATTAACGAATAGAAATCTAATTGTTTAAAACTTGACTAATCGTTCCTCATTTTTTTTTTCGACTTTTAATTATCTTAATATCCTGAACACATCGGAACTATTTCTGATGAAAATATTCGATACTTTAAATATCTCTCTAAAATAGTATCTTGTTTTCCACAGGAAACAAAAGCGTTTCTGATTATTTAGATTTCCGTTTACAAAAACAAAAAAAAGACTATTCCTCCTATATATTTCTATTAGAACAATCAATTTAAACACTTAAGTTATATTTTCATATTCTGAAAAATCTTCTTATACGTCACAAGATTTGTCGGTATTTAAATATCGCACTAGAAATGAAAACAATCAAATGATAAGATAAGCTCAATAGAAAACATTAAAAAAACAAATGTATGTAGTTTGATAGACAATATAAATCGGAAGGAAATAGAAAGACAGATGCGTAGATAGATAGATTGGAAAAAGTAATTAGACTCATGAACAGATTTATACAAAAAACCAACTCATTTTTTATATTCTAAGGCAATTTTATCGAGCGTAATTATCATGATTTTGTGATGAGCATAAAAATTATCCCCCTTGTTCTTTTGATAAATATTCAAGCAGGTAAAGTAATTATTTTCATACCTTTAAGGCAAATTCATCTAGCAGAAAATGACTTGTCATCTAGTGACCTCTATTAAATGAAAATCGTACTCATTATAATAGATATTAAATATCTAATGAAATATATCTTTAATAGATAATCTTTTTTTACTTTTTTATTTTAATAAAATTTTATAATAAATATTCGATTGGTAATACGCTTGTCAATTGCACCATTCATTGTATTTGACCGATACATGTTAATTTAATCGAATTGATCACTAGGAATAGTGTTCATCTAGATGAAAATGACTGAATTTGTTCAACCAGTCAATCAATCAATTTCACATGTAAGACATTATACAAGATCTATCTTTAAAAGATTTTCTTCATTCTATTTATTTATTTTTTTTAGTTTCAACTTGGATCAATGAATGATGTAGATAATTTCGATATAGATCGATTAAATAGTTCATTACAATATGGTGATCATCATATTATTGAAGATAATACAAAAAAAAAAGAAAGAAAAAAATTAAAGAAAAAAGAAGTAAGAATAAAAAAAATTGAACAATTTTTTTTTTTTTTATTTAAATTTTTTAGGAAGAAAATGAAAAACGT